AAAATTGCTAGTTAATTGGACCAATCTAATCGGTTTTACGGAAACGCACCAATTGGGCTGCTCATAGCCATGCGCGCAACAAATAAAAACCAGCACCATCCAATCAATAATGCCAAAATTGAGGAGGATGAAATCGAAGCCATTTTTAAGCGATTGGAATCTAAAAACCCAAATTTTGATCCCAAACCTGCAGAGAATCATTTTAGACCCCATCGTTTCAAAGTCATGGTGTCCTTACCACGCCCATGAGGATCTTTTAAACGCAGACAATTTTAATCAATTTAAATTAGTTTAATTAGTCGACCAGACACGCTATTTTACAACGTGGAGGGGCAATCACCACGTGATTGGTCGTTCTTTGACGATATTTTTCAACTGAATTCGGGCTGTTTATCAGCACAGCACATTTAAACAAAAGGTTTGAAAGAGTGTGTATGGGAGGGAAGCAGTACTGTAACCTAGTTTTGCGCCATCAAAAACCCACTACGCACTTTCCAGCTAACAGAGGCGGCAGCAACAGCTGCAACCGGAGTTAGTCTGTGACACAGAGGCCAGACAAAGCAGTTCCCTTTTCTCGGCAAAAGACAGCCTCTTTTTTTCGAATTCCAGCTACCCATCCAGCCGTTCAGCCCTTTTCTGCGTGGTTATTATCGTTTAGCGATGTTAAAAGTTTCAAGACGTTGGAGAAGTGCCACATGTAATGTTCGAGTGAATTTGCAAAATGCCACACCGCCTGTTCGTAGCGCAGTACACCGTTTGCCTCGACGCACGACACGTGTTTAATTTACCGTGTGTGTTTTTTTGAAAAAATAAATATGTTTCTCGAAAGCGAATTACGCATGTGGGTGGGGGAAAAAATCGAGTGCAAAATTTGACTAGTGCACCAGCCTGGTGTTGGGTAATACGTGTTTTTTTGATTAGAACGTGCCAAGGTCACGTCGATTTTGACAGCGCCGATGTGTGCTGACCCCGGGAAGTAGCGCGATGCGTTTTGCACCTAATTTGGTGTCCTGGTAACCAAACCCCCTGAATTTTGACCATCTTACACTCGTAATCTAGATATTTTTGGACGTATTCTGTTTCTAGAAGGTGTTGGCCCAACATTTGGCGATTAAGCGGCTTCCATCGGGACTCACCTCAAGCATCAGCTGGACGTCATTTGGAAGGTCCTTTAAAACCGCGACTGCGTCTCGCCAGACGTCCACGTCCGCTGAGCCTGCCTGCTCGGTTAGCTTCAGCGCCTCGGTCATCGGCAGCTGGTACCTAGTAGCGCGTTGAATAGGCTGCATCAGCCTGGAGAGGAGATCGTTCTTGTCGAAGAAGTACGTTCTCAAGTCCTCGAAGTACGTCTTGTGCAGGGCCACCAGGGTCACGGCCTTCGGGTAGTTCTCGCAGTACTTCATGTACATTGAGCGCAGGCGAGCCTGTGACCTGAGGAACAGCAGCGGCACCGTGTCTGGTTGGTTGGCAACGGCTCGTCGGACCTTCTCGACGAACTGGGTGTGCCACTCGGTGAGCTGGAGCCAGTTGCCCCAGAGAATGCGCCACTTCGACGCCAACTCGGCTGGGGGTGGTGTGGGGGGTTTGGGGCGGGTCTTGGGGTGTCTGTCGGACTTGCAACTGGCGCTGCGCGTCAGACACTCCTGACCGACAATCGGGGGCTCAGGGAATCCCACTTTCATGTAGGTCTCGCGAACCTGCACCAGCTGCTGCACGTAGTTCTCCTCGGAATTCACCAGCTCCAGTAATGGCTGTTGCCTGAACTCCAGGAGGGCTTCTGTTGATGTCGACATCAAGCGATAACCTCTTCGCGATTCTGATTGGTTGGCAAGAAAGTAATTACCGTTTAAACCGAAACATAATACTGCTGCTGATAATAGTTATAAAGATGCGGGTTTTTCCTGTTAGCGGCGGCACTTTGGTCTAAGCAAACTGCAAACGTCCACATGTTAGAATGTATTGACATTCAAGTCAAGCATTACTAAGTCAAACGTGCTTGAAATATTAGCGGTCGACACCGTGCGATTGTCTTTGCTCGCTTCCGATTGGCTGGCAAGTATGTGATTTCGGTTTTCACCAATGCACCAGTTTTGCGAATTTTTTTGTCCCAACAAGTGAAAGGGATTATTTTCATTGTTTAAATAAATTAGGGTTTAATTATTACAAATCAACTCGAAGTTCAAGCGTGGTTCCTTTCAAGTCAAAATTATGTAGTATCCAAATAAGTTGCATGACCTTAACTTGAAACAGTGTTTTTGAGATTTTTCGAAATGTCACGACGAAGTAAGTGGAAATATTTGTCCTTTTGTATTTTTCCAGTCGCTGTTTCATCAAGGTCAGATGCATTAGGGCAACTATTATCTTTTGGTATCAAGAAAGGCACCGACCAATGGCTGTGCAAACTCGTGCCTTACACATGCACTCATTGGTGCAGATGAACTCTGCGACCGGAGCTTCTGATTGGCTGAAATACTGACCAATTGAGAAGATGAATCATTGAGAGTAAAAGTTAGAATCGGAATCCAACGCCATGACAGCCGTGGGAAAAAAATTCGGGTTTAATATGAAAAACACAGCAGCAGGTTATGCATCACGTGCAGAATCATTGCGCGCATCAGTCCAACAGTCAAATTAATTAGCTCCCTGCATCCCGAATGCCAAATTTTTCATTTCTAACAAGACATTTACGCCCGCATAGTTTGTGTTTTTCTTAAACAGAATTCGAGACAATCGTCATTGTAGAGCTTGGCATTGGTCGAATTTGCCCACTTGGCCAGAAGTTGGAAGAGGATGAGTCACGCGCCTAATTTACGCCAGTTGATTTATTGTTTTCCTTCTTACAAACACACACACACACACGCACGCAAGAGTGGCCACGCACCTGGCTTGTACTGTTTTAACTTAATCCACAAAAGGTCCGTTTCGTTGTGCCTGACGTGGAAAAAAGACGTTGGTTTTTCCCCTTCGGTCGCAAGCTGCGGACAACACGCGCCCAGTTTCTTGGTGTATCCAAGTTAATGCAAATGGCGCAATGCGGTCGAGATGTCAAAATTTGGCCCCTTCAATGATAATCCATGATGGCTTAGAAGTAAGCCATCATCATCATCATCATCAAGCCATCGATTGCAGAAGATCATCCTCCAACTCCCCTTGCATAACATCCCGACAAGGCATCTTTGTATTTCTCATTTTGAAACCACAAATTTCCTTAATAATCCCTGAGGACACTTGCGATTTTTAATCCAAACCGATGAAGCCTTTTAGAGTACCGCCATTCTGTTGGTCTCAAATCTAGATTTCAATGCAGTGATTGGACAAGCCAAGGTCATCGCATCGTCCCCTATATCTCCCAACGGCCTATGTTTGTGTGGTTTCCTGCAAAGGTGGGGTGGTTTTCATGGCTGCTCAAATCATATTTTAAAGTGCGGGAATCAGATTGGCTGTTTAAGGTCAGGTTTCAAGGTCACTGGTGTTTTCTTTTAAGTCGTTGGGGATCAAAAAATGATCGAAGTGAGGCGTCTCTGCTATCGCATCAGCCAAATAACGTTTGTGAATTTGGGCGTGTTGTGTTGGATGCAAATTTCATTGGCGCTTCGGCAAATACTTGGATACTACATATCTTCAATTCCCATGACGGTGGGCCACTTGTTCAGAGGGCAAATTGATTATCGATTTCATCAAAAATGGCGCAGGATTAAAAAACCACCGACTTGTTAATTTTGTTAAGGCACTCGCATTGCGCAATCCCTGATAATGATACAGCGCCACAATTCGAGCCTGCAGTTCCATTGGTCACCAACCGGGAATCTGACAATCTGATTGGACGTGTCAAGGTCATCGCCTCTATTAAATCTCGTCATGATCTGTTCTGCAACGTTTGACCAGAGAGACTATGATGCTGTGAATCTTCTTCCTCAGATCTAATTGGTTCGTCTGAGTGAACTTGAATTTCATGAACGTCGCCGAACACCTGTGCCTTCCGGTTTACTATCCTACGAACTGTTCCAAACCTCCATTTTCAAATTGTGCTTGATTTCTTTTACAAACAAATTCCCCATTAGATTAACAGAAAACATTCGTGTCAGCAGTCAATGTCACAACCTTTATCGTTCATTTTGCTCAAAATCTTTTAAACTTCTGAACATCATAAGTAGATGCTAACATGTTACAATGGCTGCAGGTTGTGCAAGCAAAATCTTCATCTCTCATTTGACCTTTTAGCAGTGACAAAAAGTTGCACTGGTTTCACAGAAACATGTGTACCCTCATTTTTTGTTCAAAAACCGCCTTCTGTTAAGAATGACAGTGTGACAAACAAAACTTTTTCTTCTTCTACAGAACATTTTGCATTTTTTGCTGAAATTTAGATATTTCTCTTTCACAGACAATGAATTCGCAGCAAAACAGATGTAAAATGGCAGTTTTGTCCTATTGAATGCGTCACGGATTCACGATCGAAATGAATGACTCATCCACTGCTAAATGTGACCAGAATCTTTGATATATAACCGGAATTCCAAGAATTAATTTAGGTTGACAGAATCAAGAAAATTAAAGGAATCATAAGTACGCAATCTTTTTGGCATCAAAAGGGTCATGCATAGTTAAAAGTTAGATGTGGAAACAACAAGGAATCTGTTTGAAAAAAGGTAATTAGGAGAACATGACAATACAAGCGTTGGTTTTAAGTAGACAACGAGTGTGTAGCTGCCAGGCCGAGATGTTGGAAATATTCTCTTTTGTTGAGAAATGACTTTGGATGAGTCATTTAGCAGATTTATGACAAAACATAGGGAGCAAAATTTCGGCGAGTTGCTTGTTAAACCAAAAATTTGGATGGAATTTATCACTGCTTTATCTTTAAATTAATTGAAAAGAAAACAATTAGAGACATTCACTAGCTTTATTCTGATAGTTTGATGACAAAATGTACATTGTGTCAAATTTTGCCACCTCTCGTTGTCGCAGGTCACTTTACATTGATAGGCATGAGACCAAAATTTACTACTCGTTGGGCAGATCTTTTAATTTTTGGAGCCTATTTGTAATATTTACGGACAAATACGATTAAAAACATATCCGGTACCAGATGTAGGTTGAAGACTGAGGATGTGTGCAAGAAAGACGTTTGATTTGGTCTACCAATTAAAGCACAAGCTGAAGTCTCAGATTCCAATAAAATCTTAAGTTTAACTAAGCAAACGTCTCTACTTATGAGCTCGATTAAAAAAGCAAGATCATTTCAAAATTGGGAGTTCCACAAAGGATCATTCAAAATAACAACAAACCTAATTTTATAAGCATGTAAAACTCTAGACTTGCGTTAGGCTTTTGAGTTATTTTTCGCTGAGCAGGACCAGAAAATTTGAGTGATAATAACAATTTAAAGCCAGTGAGGTAGCATTTGACGCAAACTGCAATCGTGATCTGTATCTAATATTCTGTAACAACCTCTCAGCGGCAACCATTTTTTAAAAAAAGGGGACATTTTATCTTGAAACTTCGAATTAACATAGTAACTTGAGTTTATGCAGAAAGGCTTCGTATAAAGTCGTGGTTTTTTCTGCAGTTTTTTTAATGGTATTATAAATCACTATGTCGAAATTTTAACAGTGAACTGCGAAAAATTCTAAGAGAAAACCCAGTAATGCCGATGAAATAAGGGCAGAAAACCTTCCCAGAAAAATCAAACCAATTTGCACTTGAAAAATAGTACACATTAAGGTGTTGATTCAGGTGTTATAGGTAAATTTATGGTTAAATTCAGGTTCGAAAAAGACCCATCACAAATAAAACAAATGCAATACCTGTGTTAACGGTCACAATTCATGTGACCTTGGGGTTTAAAAATGCGAAAATTGAAGAGTAAATTAAGCAATCAGATATTCGAGAAATGTAAACAAGCCGAGTAAACTAGAAGATCATTTAGAATTAAAATATTCTTTAAACTAAAAATTGTCAAAATCTTTTAATTAAAATAACTGTAGTCTTACGCAAAAACAAAGCGTCTTTTTTAAACCCAAAATGCTAGCAATGTGCTAGCAAATGCACAGCCTTAGTTCAAAAATGTTTGTGTATATTTTCGCTGTATGAAATTTGTGTTACTTGTATTATAGTGACTGTATCTTATGTTTTTTAATAATACTTAGCGCAATTTCGATTAAAGTCAATAATCAAGCTAAAGTTTCTCATTTTCTTTTTTTTCCTAAACGCAACATATGCCTCTTCATCCTGTTGTTTATGCAATTAATTAACGATCAGCGACTAACTCAATCTATTTAAAAAAATGTAAGTATTAGACAAATCTAATTTGGCGGTATGTGGACGCTTCGGTACGTCCTTTAAATATCTATTAATTGAAATTCGCAATGATTTGACAAATTGCCGGTTACACTTAAAAACTGGAATGGCTTAGTGGAGTGCAATGATTACAGAGACCTCAGTTAATTTTGCTTTTAGTTATATGTAGTGTTCAACAATTTTGTGCCAGCTGTTACGTAATGCCTTAACGACATAATCAATGACGAGGACAACTTCCTCTACGAACATCGGTATTCCACATACGATTGGTATCGTATATGCCTGATTACAAGTATCTGCATGTTTCTTTTTTTGTCCCGAAGTATTAGTTTTTAAAAAAAGAGCTTTTTTAAATACAATTATTGAATAGTCTGTTTAACTGGCCCACCGCAGCATTTAAATAAATTCTATCTCATTGATCTTCCAATACTATTAATCTGGCGGTGTCGGAGCCCACGATTTTCCTTTTGCTTTGGGAATTGTTAATTCATTGCTGCTGGGAATGGGGTAAGCAATCCTAATTATCAGTCGTTTTAAATTTAAGTAGAGAATTGTGCTTCGAACTCGCTGAAACCCAAAACCAGATAAAATCGTTTACAGTCAAATAGATTATTGATGGGAAGACGCTGTGGAAGGTGGATAAAAATGATTGGTTTTATTGTGCTAATTTCAAGTAAGATAAAAACAAACTAATGTTTTTGGATGGTGAACAGCGGCGATGTCTTCTGGGGGTGAATGGTACCGCTAGAGAACAACATCGATTTATCTGCGCACTTCCTCCGGCTACGATAAACAGATCATGTGGACACCCTGCCTAATCGGAGGTGGTAGAGAACATCAGTTTAATCTTCAAAAAAGTGGTGTTGACAGGCTGACGGTCAACAGCGTCCGGTACATGGAGGCGGCCATGTTTGGCAGTAGATGGGGTGGCTGATCCAAATAGAACTTTGTACTAGTGCTGTTGAATTGCTTAATGACAACTAGTGCCACTCATTTTGAGAGGGAGACCTAGTGGAGGTCACCTTTATGCCCTGGAGGCTGAAATTCTCTATCTACCATCAGAGAGAGGTGAGTGAATGACCAGAGGCTTGAGTTGCAGAAGTTAAAATCCTCATATTATTAGTTTGAGGGTGGGTGAAGAGACTGCAGCGCATTGCGTACTGAACGACCGTTGACTGAAACGTCGGTGTATTCCAGCCGCTGTCCTGGGATTTGCCCAAATGAGGTTCCGTCTGGGTCGATTGTCTGTAGCTTGTTCTGACAGCTGTGTCGCCGCGTGATTGTCTAGGACGGGCATGTCTGAAAGCATCCACCCTTTTGTTTCCTAGTCTCATATTTCCTGCACCTGACGTGGGCTTTTAAAGCCGCTAAATATGATAAAATTCACAACTTGCGTGGTCCCCAAATTAAACCAACTTTAGGTAAGTGTTTGTACACATCGTCAGTTGCAATTTGTGTCAGTAGATGCCTCTGCTCGATGATACTGAGCAGGGCGCGTCCGGTTATGTGGACCTTAATGGTTGAAAATGAGCAAAAGAGGTTTAAATCAGTTGTCTGTCAGGGATAATTAATGATCACGAGATGCTTGAAACGAACTTTTTCCCTGATAGAACGAGAGATTTGGTTAGGGAATTTGGTTGAAGGCAAACGAGGGTGGAACTGGACAATGCCTATTTGATCCTGTGATGTAACACGAAGGAGATCTTCGCATCCTCAAAGCCGAATCCCACAGGTTACACAGTCATTTTTTATCAATGCCGCCAAAAGAGACCTAGAAAAGGAAACGAAGAAATAACGCTAATTAATTAAAACAACGCTAGAGACGTCAGTTGGAAATCCGCAGTTAAACCTACAGACTTACTTACTTAGCCCCTAATTTGGCCTAAATGATATTTTTATCCTAGAAATTCGAATCTGTCGTAATCTTGAGTAGGTCTCACCAAACATGTCAGTTTAGGATTTGTGTATACTTTAATGACCAGTTGTTCATAAAGTTAGGATTTGTAGCACAAAAAATTCTAGATACTGCGATTTTTTTGCCTGGCGCAAATAAAATTCGTCTGTTGATCTGGCATCGAATTGAGCATGCGTGTTTATCGATCGCGCGTTTATGGGAAATATCGATCTCAAGCTACAACGGTTCCCCTGACTTCACGCACAAGCTGTCGCAATCCCTCAACTTACATTTCGTCGTCGTCGAGTATCATCGGCACTTTTAACAACTGTTCTGCCGTCTCAATTCAAGAGGTTGCCATTTGCAGGCAGAATACATCTTCGTAGGTTGTTGAACACGAGCATCAAACTGGGCACAGATGCTCAGGCAACTCTAATTTTTATTTTCCAACTGTGAATTTCAACATGTCCAAGCCGAAAGTGGATTCGCTCGCTTGTTGCTCTCGGGATTACCATTTTCCTGGCCTAAAAACCACACCAATTTGACAGTATTTTGGCCGAAAACGTTCCCGAGTGGTTAGTTTATCGTGGAACCAGTTGACCCCGTGCAAAACGAATCGATTTTATGTCCCAAATCTAGCCGTAGAACTGAACTACGCCAACATCTGTTCGCGGACACCAGCACACGCACACACACACACACCACACAAAAACACCTGTTGTTTATGAAAGCTATCAATTAAGGTCGATTCCCACCCTCCCACCACCACCGCCGCCACCACCACCATCTGGGTGTGTCAGCAGTTGTCGCAGTGGCGTTTGTCACTTCACTTCGTCGACTCACTACGCGCCGCGCGGTGGATTTAAACGATGGCGCTGGCCGCGCTCGCCGTGGTCCTGCTTTGCGGTGGCGTTCTGAAGGCCGTTTCGGAGGTGAGTTGTGCACTGTGGAGGCAAAATTAATCATGTGCTTTTTTGGTTATTTTTTTGTTTCTATAATGCAAATTTTAGTCAGTGTGTCACTTTGCGGTTTTATGAGTTGCTTTTTAGAAAGAGGTCGTGCACACTGCCACACTGTACCTGCCACGGAAATAATCGCATGATTATTCCCTCTGTGTGCCGTTTTGACCCATTAAAATATTCAGAGCCACCTTCCACCCCACTTTCTCGAAATTTGGTAGCTAAAATTGGTTCATTTTGAGAGTGACCGATTACACTTATATCGCCACTTACATGATTCCCCTTGTTCCACGAAATTCCTCATTTTAAAGTCAAAAAAGAGGTGGATTTTTTCCCAACTGGTGGCATTACTGATTCAAAACCGTCGTCTTTTTCAACGAAGGCGCCTCGAAAACTTTCAAGCCACCGATTTTATCGGCATTCGACGCAAAGGTTGGCGTTGCGGCGCACTGACGAGATCGTGGCGCTTCAGAACCACAGTCTACAGTTCGTCGTGTGGTTTCAACAACTTCCAACTTTTGACAACAATCTCACGTGGATGTTCCGTACTAACTGCAACTACCTGAGTCTTCGGTGGAAGGCTGCAAGGAATTTTAGCGTTCTCGTGTCGCATGAACCATCAATTTTGTGGCTTGTGTCGCATTACTCTCAGCAGTTCCATAATGGTCCATATTACGAAGCCATGGTTCAACACAACAAGCGATTTAACTTGTAGTAAGGAGTACAAAAGCGATCCTACTTGGGGCTTCTGTCAGAGGAATTCCCTGAACCAGATGACCCAGCTTCTTGTCCAAAACCAGACCACTCAAATCCCAGCAGACCGTCCGGGGATGTGGACGTTGGCAACTAGGAAGGTGTGGTAATGCCATCTCCAAGCAACCTTTGTATTTCACACTGATCACTGACGGCACAAGTTAGCTACCACACTTCACCAGCACTGATTATCGATTTCTTGCTTTCAGGAGGTCGGCAAGGTGAAGCTGAGTTTCTTCTTCGAAAGTCTTGATGGAAGGCTTCCAAGTGGACAGACCTGCGACTCCTGGCCCTACGTGATGTGCGACATCTTCCTGAAGATCTGCGTCACCAGCGAAGGCAGTCGGTAAGTTACGGCGTCTTCGTGGAAACCTCTCTTTGTCTGTTTCGTGAAGTCCTTCCACAAGTAGTGTACGTGGTTAAGCGTAACAGTGATGTGGAGGTACGTCAGGAGAAGTCAGCCATCTTGAAGGGAACATCACCTGGCTGTAGAGGGATGAGTGAGGACGTGAGATCAATAAGACTGGCAGAACGTGTCGCTCTGAACATTCCACTGCCCACATTCGTCATACTTAATCAAGTTTAGTTGTAACACACCAAAACCACACCAATTTCGGCTCACCAATCACACGTCGACCTTTGCAGTCAGCCAATGAGAGCAGGGCGCACGAATACCTGCTCAAGGTCAACGGTATTGCCGCCAGTTCAACATATAGATTTAAGTTTTTTTAAAAATTTGACAAAAGCATGTATGTCTAAGTTTTGTGTGCATTGTGGGTGAGGAGGTGGGAGATAATAAGACCATCTAAATACGGTCTGGGACGATATCCGTCGGCTGGCAAACTCCATGGAGTCGTAGAGAATGTTTCGACTGCCTAACTCGCTTCAGATGGGCCCCGACTGACACTTGTTGCATCTTCACACTCCCTTTTCTGTGTGTGTGTGTTTCAGACCATGCGATGTGTTTTCTCATAAGTCGGAATTTTGGGAGGACACCCACACCAAACAAGTCTCAGTCGGCTTCCCCCTTCGGAAGCCCCTTCCTGTGAGTCTGACCTTTGACCCCTTCGGCATTCCTCATCCCCCATCTATCACTTTCATTGCCCTAATCGACTTTGGTGTTATCTGATTGGTTACGTAGAACGTAGGCTTGATTTGGCCGCCAAGTAAGCTGACCAATCAGCTCGCTCAATTTGTTATGAATTTTGTTTTTCACCAAAGTCGAAGTAAAGCAAGTGGATCTGAGCTTGGGCGTATTCTTTTGCCTTTAGAAGAGTCTGGATGTGGTGGTTGAGGCGCTGGACGCGGATACGTCTGGCAGGCCAGATGAGGTCGCGCGTTTCAGGGGAAATCTGCAAATCACCGAGTTGCCCAACACCCCAGCGAAGTTTCGCATGGTGCGGGAGGATCTCGGAGCTGTCAACAGAGTCCAGTATTTATCGATTTCTTGCGATCCCTTTGCCACTCTCGTTAACCGCATTAAATTAACCCTAGCACATAGTACTATCACAACAAAATTCACTTTAATCACATTTATGTAAGCGTGGTTCCAACCCAACTGTTTACGCTGTTGGCAAAAAAAGTAGACAATTCGCTGTAAACTGTTTATCCATGAAAAGAGGACGTAGAAAATACACACCAACAGCTTCGTCGTAAACACCTGTGTACACTTGTGAAATTGCCGATTTTTTTCTCTTTGAACGATTACAGCGGTGGTTTTGTTTGTAGATTGGAGAGTTACGCGCACATTGTGTGCGCACGGTTCTACTACGGCGGTGATTGTTCACGCAAATGCATGCCCGATCCGCAACGCTACTTCTGTGACACGAACGGAAACAAAAAGTGCAATAAAGGTGCATTATGTCGGTTCGTTCCTTTGTTGTTTTTTGCAAATCACTGCATTCAAACACGTCTGCGAGCCGATGCTTCACCGATCGATCGATCGATCGATCCGACTTTTGCTGCGGCTGCTCGCGTGGGATCGATCGATAAGCGCGCGCGAGCGTTGTTACCGTTTTTGACCTTGAGGCCAGCTGTTGTGATTGCATAAAACAATTTACTGGAATTCTTTTCGTGCGATTTATTTGTCCTGATTTTTTTTTACAGAAGACAATCGCTATCTGATTGTTGCCAAAACATGAGGCACCGTTTAAAATTTAGTCACTAATTGAATGCAAACAAAGCATCTAGTGCGTGTTTCAGGCTACTTAGGAAAGGAATGTGACCAACGCGACTACTGCCTGAACCACACTTGTGCTGAGTTCGCCGAATGCCGGAACTCGCCCACTCGATTCGAATGCTGGTGTGATGACATGGAAGGTGAGTTGGTAGCATTCTACGGTACACGCCAACACCGCATGAAGGTGTCTGCGAGTGTGTGTGAGCGATTGAAAACGCCTCTTCAAGGTCAGGAGTTCTGTCAACTATCCAATACCTGTTGAAGGATTATTGTCTTTGCCCCTAACAGGTCCACAGTGCTTTGCTGGCTTCGATCCGTGTTCCCCCGAACGAAACCCCTGCTCTGGTCATGGAGAGTGTTCCCGCACCGGTCCGCATGGCGTGACCTTCAAGTGCCTCTGCGAACCTGATTGGATGGGCGATCGATGCCAGCAGCGACGCCCGCCATGCTTGGTAGCCCTGGAGAACAACGTCACCCTCTGCCTAAACGGTGGAACGTGTCACGATGCGACTGATGTGGAAGGCCAGTTCTCCTGTGACTGTCCGCCAGGTTGGTGGGGTGATCGTTGCGAGAAGACTGCCTCCATTGTCCAAGTGAGTTGGCCGAAATACTATTGGTGGATCAGCAGGCCCACATCACCTGACAGGTTTAATCGAAGAAGCTACTATGTCATCTTGCGTTTCTTCCTACAGCACCTGAACTTCACCTGGCCTCAGCTGATTGGTCAAACTTAAGTTCTATGCAACCAATCAGATAACGCCAAAATCGAATAAGGCAACAAAATTGATAAATGGGGGATGGAAGTGCATCCCACATCCTCATTCACAATGTACACAAAACTTAGACAGACAAGCTTTTGTCTATTTTTAAAAAAATCTAAATCTTCATATTGAACCGGTGGCAATAAGTCAAATGTTCGGGTGTCGTGCTCTCATTGGTTGACTGCTAAGGTCGACGTGTGATTGGTGAGCCGAAATTGTATTTCGATTCCTCATTTTTGTTGGGATCAACGAGGGTTTCGGTGTGTCACAGCCAAACTTGATTAAGTATGACGAGTGATAGTTTATCTCTGAAGACAACAAATTTCAATTACCCCTCAAAATATTCTGATCTTGCCAAAATTTCTTTTTGTGTCTTTTTTTAGACTGCACCCTTCATCGCCACTACTTCGGTTGTTGCCGCTGCCATCCTGCTCAGCCTCCTAGTTTTCTCAGTTACCGTGTGCTGGAAGAAAAAGTACGATCAATGATGTTTTATTATGAATTCAAAGTCGATTAATAATCAATAAATGCCTTCTTCTGATTGGCTAAGGCGCTTTCCACGTCCATGATGCTCTTCTAGGGACGTGATTTGTCGAGAAATTTATTAAAGTGACAATGGCTGAGCATGACTACGCTACGAAGTGATCTTCTCTTGCTCAAGACATGTGCATCGTGCTGTTGACAGGTTACAGAAACGCCAACCAACTTTCACTTGTGTCAGCAGTCTGCAAGTCCCCCATATGCAGAGTGGACCATCTCCTGAAGGCATTCCACCTCATCAACTGCGATCACGACGTTTGGAGCTGCCACCATCGGCTTCCGTGGCCTCAGTCCCATCCTCCAGTCGACGCGTCAGCGGAGCCTCAAATCCCGAGGCCTGTAGCTTGTCGTCGTCCTGTAGATACCCGACAGAAAATTCGACGATTCAAGGACAGCAGATATCATATTTGTAACCTACTAAAACACATATGTGCTATCCCTCCCAACTTTTCGTTTTCTTGGGGTTTTTCGCAGTACGGGCTACTTAAACAATTTGAGTAAACATGTTATTATATTGTAAGCGTGCCAGAAGCTGATTGGTTGGTTTAGAAGGGGTGCCACGTGACACGCCTCATTCAGCGTTTTTTGTCAACCAAGGCCAGGAAGGGCAGCAAATTTCATTTGGAATGAGGGTAGCACACGCCTTGGGGTGAGCGGATTGGCTCCCTGTGTGCGTGTGGCGCGTTTCTGATTGGTTCCAGCAGTTTGCTTCATTAACAGGAGGCTGTAGCCCAAATTATCACGGCAGTGCTTACCAATGGCAACCCACTCAAATCGCATTAATCTGTTTCCGCGTGGCTTCACACGGTGAGTGTGCGCGTGTGGGGCGGGATGTAACGATTTCGACGGTGGACATGCCTCCTCCTCCTACTCCTCTACACGTTACGCTACGATTCGCTTCACAGCGAGAGGGACAATAGAAAGGAGGGGGGTGTCCACACACAACTCCTCGTCCCTCACCACCACCACCACCACCCCGGAATATCCAATCTTGGGCAACTTTTAAAACATTTGTGTACGGGCTGGTGGTGTGAGTGGGTGTGTGACTGCTTAACGGGGGTGTAACAATGTCCACTGGTGAGATGAGAGAGGACACGAGGGTAACGTCCCGTGGCCGCCCCCCCCCTCCCCCACCCTCCAACCCCACCGGTTGCTCCCTCTCGGTGTTAACGTTAAATCAACGGCAGAGGAGACAATAGTAACGATTCACAAGCGTATTGTGTGTGTGTGCGTGTGAGTGTACATTGTGTAGAGAGCACGCTCAACAATCCCCTTTTGTGGACACTGCAGCTT